TCCAAGTTCTGCAAACACAAGGTCAGGTGATTCCAGGATTTGCTAACTGGGTGGCAGGTCCCTGCCATGTTCACATTGTTTCTCATCCTCAGTCAAGTAGTTAGAATAGATTTCAGAAGCCTTGGTTCCCTTCTTATCACCAACTGTCCATTATTAAGTGATGATGCATCATTAAAAAAGTAAACTTTCCTAAACTAGGAAAACATCTATAGAAAACTTAGCTATACATCTCATTTAGTCCTATTGTATTTCCAGGCGCATCTATGTTTTACACAAACACTGTCCCTTGGCCTTTTCCTCTGAAATATCCAAGCAGACTCTCAAGCCACTCTCACTTCATCCTCCTTTCTTTTCTGTACAAGCTCCATTCTTTATCTCACTATTTAACTTGTGCAGGAATTCAATAGGATCTAGAACAGAGTTCCATGAATTGACTGAGAAATCAACAAAAGACAAATCACACAGAGGAGTGGGAAAAGATCATCTCACCCTGTTCCCCAGCCCTATCCAAGATGCTTCCATAACAAAGAAAATAAAAGACAAATAAATGCAGCATCCTATGTATAGGTACCCAGTACACCAAGTACCTTCCCTCTTACTGTGGCTGTTGCATCTCTTTAGTTGGTGCCTTTAAAGAAATAAGAAGATGAATACCCTTATCAAAGCCATTTCATCAGAAAATGTTGCCAATGTGTGATATCTCCTGGCAGTAACAGGAAGAAGAGAGGAAGAGTGCTTTTGTTGCTGCCATCTGAAATATAAAGTAAGTTATTTTGTGGGAACCGAGGATGTTTAGAAATGCCGAGCATAATATTATTTGTGGCCATTCCCTTCTTATGACCTTCGCATAACTCTTTCCCACATGATCATTTCTCTCCCATCTTATATCATAAATCTAAAATACAGCACATGCTGAAGAAACACAAGCGCTCTATCAGGACAGCTGCAATCTGAGTGCTTGTCTTTAGGGGAAAGGGAAGGTTTGTCATTGTGGCTAAGACAAAATCTTAGGGAAAACTGCCTCACAGCTAGATTTGTCCCTGTAGCTATGAGGAGATTTTCACATTAGTGTATAATACATTCCAAAACTGGCGTGGAAACTACCTGAGGAGCTTTAGAATTAGAATTGCAGGCATTGGACAAGAACATGGAGTGTTTGTTTCACATGTGGTGTTTACCAGTTAGTAGCCCCTTTGGCCAAGAACAAAAATGTCTTCTCAAGGTCCATTGAAATGCCCTGCAGAGGGCAGATGCTGCTTGGTTTCTGCCTACAGTGGAGGGATATTGACCCAGGACTCAAATCTATACCTAGCTTAAACATTTTCCCCATCAGCATGTCTGCGGTCACAAAGCACTTCTTCTTTCTGTCACTTCTCGTTCAGACTATTGATAAGATCATTTGGTTGAATCTGTTTGGGACCCATGTAATATTGACTAGGAGTTAGAAAAGATGATCACATGTAATAAGCCCAGAAAGTACCCTTCTAAATGAACATTTATACTTAAGCCAGTGTTCCAAGGAGGACTTTAACTACATCAGCAAACTTGTAAACTAACACAACACTGTCTGGGATTCTCACTAACCTTAGGAGTGATTTGTAGAAGGGCAGTGTTCCATCGAAGATAGTCTCAGACTATCTGCTATTCAAATTATAGCTTGAGTCTCTCCTATGTATTCTCCCCTCCTTTCTTATTTTGGAGATTTTTTAAAAATGAGAAATAGACATTATTATAAAAGCCACTATAAAATCTATCATTTTCTAGAAACCTACAGATGTAAGGATCAAGCTCTATTTCTAATCATTTGGTAAATGCTCATAACATATTGCTGAGTTTGTTGTTGTTGTTGTTGTTGAAAGGCATGTATTAAGTATGTAAATAAATTGCCTGAGCCTCGCTTTTCTGCAAACCCCAAATTATATGAAAACAGGTAGGTAGAGATTAAAGTCCATCTAATTGCACCGATGTTCTATGAGTCCAATTGGAGAAAGTACAGTTAACCTAGAAGGAAGATGCAGGAATATCTGACTGTATTTACAAGGCAAACATCTCTTTGTTGGACCTAGAAGAAGCAAACAAACTTGAAGCTCAAACTTGATAACCATTTCGATTTACTGAGACAGGCATGGTGACTGAAAGATTTGAGAGTGATGATAGCTTTTTCAAAGAAAAGTAAGTCAGAGCAGTAGTCTTCATTTAAAACAAAACAAAACAAAAAGCCTCTAAAAAGTTATAAACATGAAACCTGGCAGTGTATGCATAAAATTTATTCCAAAACTTTATAAAGTATAAAGGAAGGGAAGTGTTTTACACACAACTCAACTCAGTCAGTATAAGGTCTAGGGGTTTCTTCCCCCTTTAAAACTTGGCACTATCTTTAAAAATAAAATAAAGATATTTCAATAATTAGAACAAACTATGAAGGTATTGTGCATTTCTGTTTTATGTAATAATAAAATATTACTTTAACATAAATATATAAGGATCTCTGCGTTTTTATTTTCCCCACAAGCACAACCAAATGTACCAAAACAAAGTATTTTTAAAGAGACTGAACAAAAAAATTACATCCCATATAGATTTTGCTCACCTACTCATTTAAAGCTACAGAAAAAACAGTTTCCAGAACCTTTTTGCTTCAAAAGAAATAAATATACATTGAGGCAGGCCACTTAAAAATGATATGAAAATATTTCCCTGGGTAGCATTAAAAAAAAGAAAAATAGACAAAGAAACATTTAAACTATTTCTGCATTTCAAAAGACATATATTAAACATATATACATAGTGGTAAGGTTCAGCGGTAACTTTTATCTTAGTAAACCTAGGAGAGGTTGGGGAGCTGTAGACACATCCCCTGAACTCCAGCTTCTGACCTTACATACTTAGTTATAAGTATCTGAAAATTCATTTCCTCCCTTTACCATTCATTGGCTATTTGCCCTGCTCTGGATTGCTTCACTGAAGACCAGTTCCTACACCTTAGAAACAGGCAGTGTGATGCGCCCTGAAGCAGCTCCATGTCCATCTCCTTGTGACATTCACTGGGAGAAATGAAAACAGGCAAATAAATATGCCCATGCCCATGATAAGTCACCATTTATCTTGCAAAAAACAAAACAAAACCAAAACAGTGAAAATGAAACAATCACAGGTGTTTGAAAGATACAATACTGTATAAAGCATATTCCATACCACCTTACCTACTGAGTGCAGTGCTAATCTGATGCTGACCCATAATTTTAGGGTAGTAAGAATTTAATTTTTTAAAATAAACATTTAGCTAATGCCTAACCAGGAAAAAAATGCCACAACTTTCAAAGGTTAATAAAAAAAATTGTCTTCCCTTATAGTGTCCTTTTGTGCTGATTATGATCTTTAAAATTGTAACTCATCACAGTTTGGTGGTGTTTATTTTCAAGACAGTTACAAGTTTTTTTTTCTTCTTCTTCTTTCATCTACACTTCCCAGTAGAGTCTATTGTGTTGGGAGCCAATCATTTTTTTCCATCAAGATAAGGTCAAAAATGCACTTAAAACTATTAACAAAGGGGAGAAAGGAAGGATTGAAAATGGCACCCCCACCCCACACACACTTTATTTGGCTTCTTCAATGAACGAAGGAGAGCAGAACTGATCAAGTCAAACTGATATTTTCTGTAATGAATTCTGGGAGAAGATAGTATGAAACCCTAAATATGACTTGATAAACAAATGAAGCAGAGAAGACAAAACCAGCCTACTGCCTATGGATGCATGTGAGTATTTGTGTGCTAAGAAACACAGTCTATGCATCATTAAGTTTCTGGGTTATTTTCTTTATATTAGGGAAAAAATCTACTATAGGAACAAAGTTTAACCACTGCTGTCAGCACAAATAATTCCTCTTAATTAAGTTATTAGACCTAAAGGCAGAGAACTATACAGGGATATTTAAAGATATATATATATTTCCCCAGTTCTCTTCAAAGTGCCACTTTCTTTCAGTTGGACTACTCTGGAAATAAATTTAATCTCCATATTTCCTCTGAGTTGTTTCACAATAGGCTCGTCTGATAAAATGAAGTAAGCAGTCACTCACTATCGATTTTTCTTTTTCATCCCTCTATAACATCCCCCAGAAACACTGCTTGAAAATGAAGTTTACTTTGTGGGTGATAACAAAACAAAGCAATGCTTGCCTCTTATTTCAATATTCCAAACTAGATTCTTGCCTTGGATAAAGCGGGTAGACAATACACATTTCCTGAAAGCAAACACTTATTTATTTTGCATGGGGCCAATTGTTTTGCTTTGGTAAAAGGAGTAAATAAATGTTACACCAATCACTGTATGGGACATTTGAGGGTACGCAGCAAAGTTCACAAACAACAAGAACAAGGGGCAACACAAAAACATTGGAAATGGAGAGCTGCCCAGAGCTGGCTTCCAGCTCTCTGCTGAGGAAAGCAAAAACAAAACACAACCCCAAATGGCAAATGCAAAATCAACGGTGGGCATCAAGAGAAATATAGTTTTACAAATTTGTTGGCGTAAACTTCAATTTTCTTGCAGTGCAATTTGTGTGGTTAAATTTTTGTCTATATCCAAAGAGTGTGTGTCTTCCCCCCCCCCTTTCCCGATGGGGAATCCACATTAAATAAACACAGCAGCATGTGCCAACTTGAAGCACCAGGAAGCTGCAGCTCTGTGTTTATTGCGGTTTGGTGGATTTTTTGTCTTTTTGGTAATTTATTTAGTTTTGCCAGGTATTTATCTTAGTTCTCTCTCTGTCTCTCTGTCTCTGTCTCTGTCTCTGTCTCTCTCTCTCTCTCTCTCTCTCACACACACACACACACACACACTTCACTCTACCAAGGAGACACTCTACTCTGCCTGGGTACTCGCCTGCAAAGGTCAAAACACCTCATCACATCTGCTAAGGTTTAGAGGATTGAGTCCAGTATCTTAGTTGCTTTCCTTTCTCCTTATTATTATTATTATTATTAATTATTTTTCTTCTTAAGGGACTGGGAAGTAATAATTAAAAAATAAAAGAACAATCAGAAGTTAGAGAGGGAACAGTGGTCCCCGGAAAGGACCGAGGACCAAGGGAGAGGGGAAGCCCCGCGCTCTGCCCCTCCCCTCCCTTCCCCTCCCCCCTCCTACCCCCCCTCCCCTGCTGGAGTTCACTGGACGGGCGTCTGCACCCCGTGGTGTGGCGGCGTGTCCCTACTCCCCCCGTACACATCCTCGGCGCCCGGCAGAGTCCCTCCGGGAGGGGTCATCCTTTTCTCTTTCTGTCTCCTGTTACAAAACCAAACTCTCACCACCTCCTTCTCCAGCTGTAAGCTGTCCGCCAGGGAGGTGATCTCCTGGGCCGAGGGCTTGGGGCATTTGAGGAAATGGCTCTCCAGAGCCCCCTTGACGCTCACCTCGATGGAGGTCCGCTTTTTCCGCTTGCGCCCCTGCGCTGCGATCTTGTCTATGCTCGTGGGGCTGCCCGAGGACGAGTCTGCCTCCTCCAACCACTTGTTCAACAAAGGCTTCAGCTTGCACATGTTCTTGAAGCTCAGCTGTAGGGCCTCAAACCTGCAGATGGTGGTCTGCGAGAACACGTTCCCGTACAGGGTGCCCAGCGCTAGCCCCACGTCCGCTTGGGTAAATCCCAGTTTGATCCGCCTCTGCTTGAACTGCTTGGCGAACTGCTCCAGGTCGTCCGAGGTCGGCGTGTCCTCGTCCGAGTGCGGGTCGTGGTGCGCGCCCGGGTGGCCCGGCGGGCCCGGCGGGGGCGGGGGCGGGGGCGGCTGCTGGTGCGGGTGCGAGTGTGGATGCGGGTGGTGGTCGGCGTGGTGAGGCTCGTCGTGCGCGTCCCGCAGGCCGTGGTGGTGCAGCCCGGCCGGCTGCCCGCCGGCGCCCAGCATGCCGTTCACCGTGAAGCTGGGCTGGGAGTAGAGCAAGCCGCCGTTGGACGCTCCCATGGAGGGCGGGAGATGTGCCGCGGCCGCCGCGCTCCGCCATGCCCCGGGTCCGGGGTGGTGGTTGGCGGCGTGGTGCACCAGATGCGGTGGTCGCTGCTGCTGCTGTTGCTGCTGCTGCTGCTGCTGCTGTTGCTGCTGCTGCTGCTGCTGGTGCTGCTGCTGCTGCAGGGCGCCCGGCCCGTGCAGCTCGTCGCCGCGGCCGCCCTGCTGCACCACCACCGAGGGCTTGATGTCCGGCTGGCCCAGGGGGCTGGTGGACCAC